ATTGTATATCCATCTATCTATCTATCTATCTATCTATCCATCTATCCATCCATCCATCCATCCATCCATCGTGAGGAGCTGTTTTTCCTTCATTATTCAGAATCTCATTTACCAGCTCTATCTATCTATCTATCTATTGTATATCCATAGATAGATCTATCGATTGTATATCCATCCATCTATCTATCCATCCATCCATCCATCTATCCATCTATCGATTGTATGTCCATCCATCCATCTATTTATCCATCCATCCATCCATCCATCTATCTATCTATCCATCCATCCATCCATCTATCGATTGTATGTCCATCCATCCATCTATTTATCCATCCATCCATCCATCCATCTATCTATCTATCTATCCATCCATCCATCCATCCATCCATCCATCCATCCATCCATCTATTGTATATCCATCCATCCATCCATCCATCTATCTATTGTATATCCATCCATCTATCCATCTATCTATCATCCATCTATCTATCTATTTATTGTATATCCATCCATCTATCTTTCCATCTATCTATCTATCTATGTATCTATCTATCTATCTATCTATCCATCCATCTATCTATTGTATATCCATCCATCTATCCATCTATCTATCATCCATCTATCTATCTATCTATTGTATATCCATCCATCTATCTTTCCATCTATCCATCCATCTATCTATCTATCTATGTATCTATCTATCTATCTATCCATCCATTGTATATCCATCCATCTATCTATCTATTGTATATCCATAGATAGATCTATCGATTGTATGTCCATCCATCCATCCATCCATCTATCCTCACTGATTGGGATCAAATGTTAACATGTTATTGTCTACATTTACATTTGTTGATTATAGTGTTTGAAGGGGAAAATGTGGATTAAAAGCACTCTTAAAGTTCTGTTTATTTAAAGTTAGCTTTTTAGCTATCAATTAATCAAACAAATAGATTAATAGTTGACAATAGTTGCAGCATTTTCAGATCTGTGCCATATCCATCTATCTATCTATCTATGTATCTATCTATCTATCTATCTATCCATCCATCTATCTATTGTATATCCATCCATCTATCTTTCCATCTATCCATCCATCTATCTATCTATCTATGTATCTATCTATCTATCTATCTATCCATCCATCTATCTATTGTATATCCATCCATCTATCTATCTATTGTATATCCATAGATAGATCTATCGATTGTATGTCCATCCATCCATCCATCCATCCATCCTCAACATGTTATTGTCTACATTTACATTTGTTGATTATAGTGTTTGAAGGGGAAAATGTGGATTAAAAGCACTCTTAAAGTTCTGTTTATTTAAAGTTAGCTTTTTAGCTATCAATTAATCAAACAAATAGATTAATAGTTGACAATAGTTGCAGCATTTTCAGATCTGTGCCACACAGCTTCTAATAATGATCGGCTAAAGGGAAAATACAGCACCGCTGGATGTGAAGACCTCCCCTTTAAACGCTACAGCTCTCTCGCTCGGTCTCTCTCCCTCTCACTCACTTACAGCCAGACGCGTTCAGACGAGCTTTGCTGGTCTTCTCATATTCTTCTCGTCTGTTCTGCAGAGCGCGTTCTTCATCACATTACTGGCGTCCGCGTTGTTGTTCTCGTGCAACATTGTAACATTCGCGAGAACCGCGTCTGGAGCTCCACGATAATTTAACGCAGAAATTAAAAACGTGAGTATCACAACTTGGTCTCATCAACAGCTTTTAATTTGATCTCAAATCATCAGCCGTGGTGTTTTAGATGAAGTGTTCATCATGTCAGCTGTGAAATGTTTAACGTTGACTGAAAGTGCGACTGTCCATCGCAGACTCGCGTTCACGTTTAGTTTACAAGAGAAGTTCTCAGCTGTTATCTTACGGAGTTGTCCATTTTCATTTGTTCGTAATCGAAATTTAATGTTAATGTTCAGGTTTTTGTGAAATAATGTATTCTTATGGTCGAATTGAAATGGTTTATTGTGCGCATCAGAAGCACGTGCGAATCCTCTAGTTTGTTTGCTTTCGTTCTTAAACAGCTTGTTGCAGCTGCTCCTCTTTGAAGCAGTTTTACTATCTACCAAAGTAAAAAGCTCATCGATCTATCTATCTATCTATCTATCTATCGTATTTAGCAGTTGAGCTCTAATAATTTTCTGACAGGTCTGTGGTAGGACATCATATCGATTAGAAGAGTGTTCATACATTTATATTGGAAAAATGCTTCTCAAAATGAGCATTCTCAAAAATGCTAATTTTTCTTTCCATCACATGTATTTTTCTTATTCCTGAATGCTTTTTTCTGCTGTTGCAGAGGTGTTGAGAACATCAAGGTCTTTGCTGTCTATACCTGTAAATCCAAGTTGGTATATCCAGGGATCGACCTTGTTTGAGGACCACAGTTGTGCCTTTGAACTGAAACATGAATTCAGTGCATTATTCCCAAGGTATTCTATATACGGTAAACATATAATCTCATCCACATTCTAGATACCTGACCTCATTATAGGTCACCACTGGACTCTTTAAGGACCATTGGAGTCTTTGTGTCCTTCACTGTTGGACATTCACAAACAGAATAGAATGGCAAAGTGGTTAAAGGACTATTTAAGTTTCGGGAGCAAACGAGTTCCCCCGCAACCGCCAAAACCAGACTACAGCGAGAGTGAGATATTGAAGGCGTATCGTGCACAGAAGAACCTTGACTTTGAAGACCCTTATGAAGACTTTGAGAACAGAGCTAGAAATGACAACGGGTCAACTGAAACGTCCCACATGGGCTTCGGCTCTCCTCTGAAATCCTCGAGTTTGGATATCAAGGTTGTGTCGCCAAAACATCGCCTCATAAAAGTGGACTCACAAGACCTGGGACGGAGCAAGATTCTCCTAAGCTCCGTGTCTTTAGAGGAACCAACAGATCCGGTGAGTTATTTACAACAGTGGTTCTCAAGCCTGTCCTGGAGGACCTCTAGCTCTGCACATTTTGTATGTCTCCCTTATCTAACACACCTGATTCAACTCATCAGCTCGTTAGTAGAGACTGCAAGGCATGAATTGGTGTCTGAGGCCATGTCCACACGTACACGGGTATTTTGATAGTTTTTCTATAAAAAAAACTTTTTTTCCTTCCGTTTAAAAAAAAAATCTCTGTCCACATGAAAACGCAAACGCATGCTATGAAGCACTGTCAAGAGCATGCCAAACCAACAGGTGGCGATATAATCTCAACCGTAAAGCCATGTTGGCCAATAGGAAGCCTGAAAAAGTCTCCAATAGGCGGAGATGACAGCGCAGGCTCCTATGTCACAAGCCAAAAACTCCGGTTTCGCTGTCTACATGATAACACTGCAACCGGAATTTCTGAAAATCTTCACCCTGGCACGCGTTTTCAAAAATGTTCGGTTTCAGTGAACTGGAGCTGCGTTTGCGTGTGGACGAACGGCCTAACCGCGTAGAAAAAGCGGCGGTTTTAAAAAATAACCGCGTTCGTGTGGCCTGATAAGGGAGACATACAAAATGTGCAGGGCTAGGGTTCTCCAGGACAGGGTTGAGAATCCCTGATTTACAATACTTCAGTAAAAAAGCCATTATTTGTCTATTTTGATATTATCTGCCTTGGACGAGTAACGTAATTCTACGAGTAACAAATAGCATAAAGTTGTAAATTTTCCGGTTTTCGAATCATTTTGAGTGAATTTTGCATAAATATTGTGTGTAATGTTAAAGTTTAAATTTTTCTTGATGGTAAACCAACCAACCAACCAACCTGTGCTCAACCAATGGTGGGATTTTGGAGGCGGGGCTATGTATTTGACTAACCAATGGTAGATGGGGGAGTGTTTATGCAAGTTTTTTTGAAAACATTTTGCCATGTGGTGACGATACATGTATGCACACAACTCCTCTGCACTTCCGATTTCTCCCAATATGGGGACAGGAGACTTGTCAGTCAATAAATGGGAAAACAAAGTAACTCGCGTAACTTTTTTTGAAAAATATATATTTCTTGTAAATTAAAAAATAATGCATTACTTTACTAGTTACTTGAAAAAGTAATCTGATTA